TATCCCTTTAATATCAGAGGTAACTGTTTCTTCCTAACCTTCTTAGACCTGGAGATTTAAGTTTTCCATGATAATAGACATTTGGGAATTCACCCGTTGTTTCATATATCTTACAAGGGCAGGTCTTTATTTTGAGCAATGCAGAATTATGCCTGAAATTTGGAAAGCTTCCTTTGGCTTATAAAGGGTTCTTATATCTTTTTTTTTCTTTTTGGGTCACACTCGGCGATGCAAAGGGGTTACTCCTGGCTCATGCACTCAGGAATTACTCCTGACGGTGTTTGGGGGATGATACGGGATTCTGGGAATTAAACCCGGGTCGGCTACTTGCAAGGCAAATGCCCTACCCACTGTGCGATCACCCCAGACCCAAGATTCTTATATCCTGTTGGAGAGGAAGATGGGTTTTGTGCTGAAGACTCCTGGGAGTCCAGGTTCTGATGTTAAAGAGATTGCCTCTAGCATTCAACAAGTCAGAATAACGTTTGTTCAGGTTTTTTTGAATAAGTTGAAGCCCTCTTTGAGCTCTGACCTTGGTCACCACCTAAATTTAGAACTTGGGACCCTGGCTTTACACTCCGTTCAAAGGGCACCAGATTCCTTAGTTTGGGGATACGCACTGAGGATGCTGGCCCCTCATCACACTGCCCATGAGCCAGTCTCTGAGTGCTTTCAAATCTTACCTCCATCACCTGCCCAACTCTAATGGACTCTCATGAATATATAATGATCATGTGTCTTAAAAAATTTTTTTCTGGGTGGGGGAGGGGAGGGGGAAAGCTGGTGGTGCTCAGGACTTACTCCTGGGCTCTATGATCAGAGATCACTACTGATGGTGCTCAGGGAGGACCATATGCAGTGCTGGGAATCAAAGCAGGGCTGGCCACATGCAAGCAAAAAGCCTTAACACCTATACAAGCTCTCTGGTCCCTTGTATTTAAAATTAGTCACATCATACTTATAATTTTATCTTATTTTTTCATTAGTATATTTTAAGACCCAGTCTTACCAGGCTATGTGAAAATTTACATTTTCAAATTTATGAGCATAGTATTTTTCTCTGCATTTATTTTCTACTATACATATACATGTATAGTAGAGAATAAGTATATATTATTTATTATTATATATAAAAAGTATACATCTATATTACTGTGTATATATTAAAGGAAGAAACACATTTTTAAAAATAGTAAGATTAAGAAAATTTTTTTCCCATTCCTAATGTACAAACATTTGAAAATATCACAAATTGGTATTAAATTTAATCATTAATTGTGGAGGTTTTATTCTCTTATTGTTAAAGTGTTACTAACATGAAATCTTTCTAGCATAGGTGAGAAATCCAACTTGGACATGTTAATTTACTGCTTTTACAGATCATTAATGTTCATTTGCTAATATTTTCTTGAGAATTTTTACAAGGACAGCTCGCATAAAATGCAACTTCAAGATCTCCTATGTTTGGGGGAAATGGATCAAAGATGAGTTAAGGAGAATTCTTATTAGTTTGACTTTAATAAAAAAATGGAATTATGAACCACCTTTAGTGACTCGCCCATATGTAAGTAGAAGAACTTCAGAAATGACTAACATAACTTACCCTAATCTTCACGTTTAAAATGCAGATACACAGTGCCCATGAAGGATTTGGGATTTTTAGTAAGTACCTTAGTGATTCTGATAAAAAGATCTACTGAAAATGTTTTAAATATTACTACCCTGGTAGGGAGAGTTTCTATCTGCTCTCATAACAACCTGAGGAATATTTGAAAGAGGTGTAATAGAACTGTGTGGTAGTTGAGAGAGTTGAGGATACTAAACATTCTTACTCTTCTGTCAGTTCCTTAATAAGAGAAGTCTTTGTAATTGTCTCCTCCTTGAATATCTGTTTGGGTAAGTTCCCCTCCCCCACTTAACATTCATTCTCCCTGTTTGAAAGGTTATATAAAAATAGGAATTTGAAAAGGCACAGAATGTGTGAAGATTGTGGTATTTCACGGTTTATTCATAACAACAATACAAAATAAATTATCTTGATTCTGCTTTGGGGCAGGGGTTGGGGTTCAAGACGGAAACATTCAAAAAATGGTGGTGGGAAGGTGTAACGGTGGTGGGATTGGTGTTCAAATATTAAATGCAATCAAATATTGTGAACTACTTTGAAAAGTAAATTGGGACTGGAGAGATAGCAAAGCAAGTAGGGCGTTTGCCTTGTACATGGCCAACCTGGGTTTAACTCCCAGCATCCCATATGGTCCCCTGAGCACTGCCAGAAGTAATTCCTGAGGGCAGAGCCAGGAGTAACCCCTGTGTATCACCAGGAGTGACCCAAAAAGAAAAAAAAAGTTAAAATTTGGGTAGGGAAAAAAGGGGCACAGAATGGGGAACATTTTATGCTGAAGACAGGATTAAATATCTTTGCACTTCATGCTATCAGAACAGTTCAACAAAGGAAGAAAGACAGAAGAATAAAAAGAATTAAAAAAAAAGACAGAACAGTTCAATAGGTACAGAACCTTACTGAAATTACAAAAATGAATTCTGTTATGCAAGTCTATGGTGAGATGTAAAAACACTAGAGGCTGGACACAGCAGAAAAGACTTCCTGGTGATTGCAATAAACACATAATAATAAAAAATAAATCTTATGTTCTGTTTTCCAGTCTACTCAGTCAGGTCTAAATGTCAGTGTGCTAAGTGGTGAATGTAATGGTGGGAGTGGAGGGGAGAGGAGAGACACACAGTCATTTAATTTAATTGGTTTTGTTCATTTAATCGATCCTTTTAAATCCTGTCTACTAAAGGGGAAGCCAGATAAATAAATAATGCAAGTGGCTGGGAGCAGAAAATGGTTCGAGATGACAGGGGAACTCCATCCAGGTACCCTCCTCTCTGCCCTCTCTCCTACACCCTGGCAGAAAGCAGAACAGCGGAAGTTCTAATTCACACGCGTGTGGCTATAGCTGGAGAACTAAGGAAAGTCAAGAGGGCAGGGAGTCCATGAGAGGTGCAGTAAGACACAACAGAGAAGCACGCCCCAGCAAGGGGACACAGGTGTCAGCAGCCGCAGACCTGAGACCCAGAAGCAACAACCAGGGACACAGAGAGCAGGACCAGGCTGCTGTTCACTGGGAGAGAATGAATAGGAAACAGGACGCTATAATCTGGGCCCAGGCAGTGAAGGGGCAGGACAAGGGACAGTGTGCATAAGAGAGAGACCTGGACAATGGGAAGGGACCTAGAGCCATTTACTTAACCTGTATGATTAACTAACTTCCTAAACATCTTTAGTTTTGCATGCAAATCTTTCATGTGATGCTCACAGATCCACAAACTTAGAAATAAAACCTTTTCTTGCAGTGATCAAGAGCCATTTGTGTTATGTAATGTCTAATTTCTATTTCACTCTTAGTTCTTCTCCATGAATACAGATCTCTACTTTCACTTATTTCTTATTTTTATTTTATTTTTGCTTTTTGGGTCATACTTTTGGCAATGGCAATGCACAGGGGTTACTCCTGGCTCTGCACTCAGGAATTACTCCTGGTGGTGCTCAGGAGACCGTATGGGGATGCTGTGAATCGAATCCGTGTCGTCAGCATGCAAGGCAAACGCCCTATCCACTGTACTATCATTCCAGTCCCTTAACCAAAGTTTATTAAAAACCTATTTCTTTTCAGCCTATTTCTAAGTTATTAAAATTCAATATTTAAATATTCTGTCCTATCCTCCAAAGTATAATATCAAACAAGGAGTCAACATGTTACTTCAAAAGATTGCAGGAAAATGTAAGAACTAGGCTTTTAAATTCCCATATTTACAATACAGAAATAAGCTACACTGGCAGCAATTTATATAAAAAACTTCACTTGCACACAGAACATGAAGCAAATTTCTGAAATAAACACAAAGGACTATTACTATGTCTACATTATTTGGGCTTGAATATTCTCCAGTGTCAACATTCTGACCATAACCACTGATTACTTCTATGCAATTACTTTATTATTTCTTTCTTTACATTTCCATAACAACATTTCTCCACCTCCTCACCACCATCACAGTGACAATAACAATAGCTACTGGTTAAGTACAGCCCTGAGAACTTTACATAAATCAATTAGACCTCAGAAAAATGATCCTTAACTACAAAGATGAGAAACTGAAGCAGAGTGATGTATGTAGCAGCAATGGTATTTCGATTCCAGCAGCAGTCTCTAAGCTTCAATAGTTGTCTTTCACAAACTCATTACATTTTTAATAATCTGCCAACTGGTAAGAGAATCGCATCCCTCTTTTTGAAATTCACTCAACTCAGGACTTAGATGACTGCAGTCATTAAAATATTCCCTGGCCGGGGCAGAGGCATGGGAGAGTAGGGAAGGGCATTTACCTGGCACGTGGCTGACCCAGTTTCCATCCCTAGCACCCCATCTGGTTCCCCAAGTGCAGAGCAAGCCCTGAGCACAGCCAGATGTGGCACCAAAACAAACAAAAAAGTTCCCCCAGCTTAATAATGTTTCACCCAAGATTTAGTTACAAAATATGATTATATGTGTCAATGACAGATTCAAGAGTCTCTCTGATCTGTACTCCTCCTCTCCTATTCAGAACATCAGATAAATACTCAATCAGAGGTGACTGACACATTCCCATCCCTACAAGGGTCTGAGCCTGGGCCGGGAAAGGTTTGCTAAATTAACACCAAAAGGCTTTATGGGTTTTTTCCTCTGATACCAAGCTGTAAATTATGTAACACCAGGGCTCATGATCTTCTCAACTATATTTTACTACTTCTTTTATAATAGTAACAATAGTGTTAATTTTTATAAATTCAAAATTCACCCATAACAAAATGAGACAATGCAAACAATTAAATTATAGGTTTTTTTTATCTTTAGCTTTTTAAAAGGGTAGCAACTGGTGGTGATTATACCCTACAATAGGATTCAAGTTATCAAAGTATTCTTATTGTTACCAAGAATCTTATTACTAACCTGTTGTGGAATAATGGTATCTCTATAGCTTGGTAAAATTTTTAGGGTGACACTTCCACTGATATTTTTCAGTAATTCTTGTAATTCCTTTGGATTATTTCCAACCTCATGGCCATTGACTTCTTTGATGATATCTCCCACATGAAGCAGACCTTGTCGATCTATCATTCCTCCATGAAGAATTCTAGCAATTACCAGATCATTATTTTCAACCCTGAATGTCACACCCTAAGGAAAATAGGGAAAAATGATCAATGTTTGGATTATTAGGAATATATTAAAACATTCACAAACATATACATAAATATATATGAACTCTAAAAATGTTAAAGATAGAAACCCTTTATACCTTTCATAAATCCTCTCCTTCTCAATGTTCTAATCCCATTATACCAGGAATAAATGTGGTTAAAAAAAAAAAGAGAGGAAGGGAGGGAAGAAAGAAAGGGAGGGAGAGAAAGGGAGGGCAGATGGGAAGGAGAGAGGAAGGAAGGAAAGAAGGACAAGGATGGAAGAGAGGGAGGGAGGGAGGGGGGGAAGGGAAGGGGGGAGAAAAGGACTTTTGAGACCTAGAGCTAGAACAACTGGTGGGATAGTTGTCTTGCATACACCAACAAAGGCTTGATCCTGGGTACTCCATATGGTCCAGAGCACTGCCAGGAATCATCCACTAGCAGAGAGCCAGGAGTAAACCTCAAATACCACTTAGAGTACTCAGGTCTTTCCTCCAAAAGAACCCAAACCAAACAAAAACCTTTTAAGACTTGCACAGCAATAATAACCTTAACAATGATCCACTTAACAGTCTCCTTTTCTACATATAACCAGAAGCTCAAGGGAGCAACAAAAGTTATATGTGTACTCTGATGGTCTTTCTGGCATTTCCTTTTTCCCTACTTCACATATAGTCAACCCAGAAACAACGACCTCAGCAGGGTGTTGTAAACATCACTATTACAAAGGCCGTCCATGGTTTCAATATTTAATAAGATTTTTCTAATGTTTTGATACCATCATTAGCAAGAAGACTAAGTTAATTTCTTTCAAGTGTATGGGAGAAAATGGAGTTGATATTTCTGAAATTCCTGTTATTTCTGCCTCTAATCTTGGATTTTAAATTTTGGCTTAATTCTTAATGCTATATCAGGCCTAGACAGCATTAGCAATGCACTTATACATAAACCAAAGATACCAATAAAGCATTAGAATTAAATGGAAACAAACATTAATGATACAAACTATTAAAGAAAAATATGACAGACTAGAGACTAGGTCCTAAGTATGTCAGTTTTCAGTACACATTTATTTATCTACTCACCAATGGTTCTCCAGCTCTTTTGTGAATACCAAGAATACGAATAGCATCTACAGGTAATAACTGATTATTGATAGAAGCATTATTTATTTCTGGACTTGAGGGAGGTGAATCATAACACTTTGATGCCACAATGTCATGGGCTTCCAGGAGCGACTATAAAGATTCAAAATAGTCTGCTGTTATTAATTGCTGATAGAATATTATGAAAACTAATCATCCATTATGGCAGCTGAACATTAAGAATTTCTAATGCATACATTTTTCTTTTATCAATTAGATTCCAACATTAGAGAACTGCTAAGGGCAGCGCTTAAATCTTTATATGTTTGTCAGCCAAACCACCAAAGTTTCAGCACTACTCTTTCACCATAAAGACCCCTCTACACATTCATTTCACCTCTCTCCATTCCCCCGGGGTCGTAATGGCTTTTCTATGAATTGGTTTTGTATTCTGCTATTTGCTTTATTTATATTCTATGAGCATATCAACTGTCTTTCACTCCCTTATTTCACTAGGCAAAATTAGCTCAAGTTATATTTAGCCACAAAATGCATGATTTTATCTTTTATGTGGCATAGTAGTGTTCCAGTGAGTCTATGGATGACAGCTTTTTATCCAATCATTAGTCTATGGCCATTTAAGTTGCTATTTTGCTTTTGTTGTGAATAATAGAGCTTTTATAAATATAGGGATGCAAATATTTAATGGACACTTTCACATCTTTGGATAAATGTCTAGGAAAGGTATTGCAGGGTCGCATGGTATTTCCACTTTTATTTTATGAAATCACTATATCATTTTCCAGAGAGGCTGCACAAGTTTATAGTCCCATCAATAGTGTACACAGGGTTCCTTTGTCTCCACATCCTTCACCAACATTTGTTTTCAATCTTTTTTTGTTTTTGTGTCACATCCAGTGGTGCTCAGCATTTCCAATCTTTTTCATGTAAACCATTCTCAGGTGTGAGGTGATGCATCATAGTGGATTGATTGCATTTTTTAATAATAAGTGATACTGAGCATCTTGTCATGTGGCTGTGGACCACTTCTGTATCTTCACTGGAGAACTGTATTCAGGGCCTTGCCTATCTTTTATTTAATTGGGTTGCTTGTTTCTTTGTTGTTGAGTTATGTTAGGATTCTTTTATGTGTGTATGTGTGTGTGTGTGTGTGTATAAGACTACATCTATATCTGTATGCTCTATGTTCTGGGTATCAACCTCCTTGTCAGATGTATGGATGTGCAAATGAATTTTTCTAATCACTGGGTTGCCTTTTTGGTATTTTGGTAGGTATTTTTAGTTTTTGGGTTTTTTTGTTTTGTTTTTTCTTTTGCTATTGTAGAAGCTTTTTAAATTTCATGTAGTCCTATTTGCTTACTGCTTTCATTTCCTTGCCATTTGAATCTAGCCTACAAATAAACTCCATTCTTGTTCTGGAATGTAAGACCTACATTTACTTCTTTGTATTTAGTTGTTTGGAGTTATATGGAAGCCTTTAATCCATTTAGTGTTAGTTTGGTGCCTGATGTATGGTGTTAAATAGTGATCAAGTTTCACTCATGTATGTGGCTGTCCCAAGTATACATTATTAAATTTCTAAATGTGAGTTAAATCATATTACATTGAAACTTTAACAACAAAATCTATGCTTCCAAGCATAATACAATGTAAGCACTGGATTTAATTTCCTCAATGTTATCACCATCATCCACATCCAATATTAATTCCTATTATCATACAAATATAATTGGCAATGATCCTAAGTTTTGTTCCCAAATTATTATCAAATTACATTTCATTTTAAAATTTTTGATTTTATTTTTAAAAGTTGTTCACAATAATTTGTTACATTTAATCTCCAAATAACAACCCCATCACCATTACACCTACCCACGACCATGTTTTAAATGTTTTCACGCCACCCCCAAAACCTACCCCAAAGCTGGACCTACGTAATTTATTTTGTATTGCTTGTTATGAATAATTCACTTAAAATGATCAAAAAAGTTTCCTTAGAGGAAAGTGTGTGGAGATTGTTTTATGTCATCCTGGCGCCAGTCATCCCTTGTATAAGAGATTACCAACATACAAAATGTCACGTGGCCACATTTGCACCAGAAATTCTAAAATTTTAAATGTCAAATTACGTTTCTACACAAAGTATCTGAACAACGTTGTAAGTGTGTATCTCATTGATTCAATAAAAGTATAAATAAATAAAAGGTTACATGGCTTTACCCTTAAAAAAAAAAGAAAAGAAAAATCCCTAAGCACACAATACTATTTAAGAACAGAGGAAGAATGAAAAAAAAATTGTTACCATTTGAGATTGCTATTTTGGGAAAGGGTAGAGCTCGCCCAACAGTACTGGGGGGCTTCTGAGAGGATTATCTGGTGATATCTGACACAGTACCTGGGTCTGGCAGGGTACAGTTATGGTGCAAGGAAGTGGAGCTGCTTGAGATCTATGGTATTAGGTGCCACTGTCCTACCCCAATGAAGGCAAGGGTCTCTAGAGTCACCCCTGGAGGAGATACAGGGGATTGTCATGTAGTGCTGGGATTCTAATTCAGGTCCTGAATACAGCACTATTTCCCCAGCCTGAGACTGCTATTTTAAACAAGTCTTTACTTTGAAAATTGGTAATGGATCAAGTATTTTCCTGACTTCCAGAAAGCAACTAAATTATAAAGCAACTAAAAAAATCCCAGTTGATAAAAGCAACATTCTATATAAGAATACCAGCTATTAAATGCAGAATGAAAGAATTTGAAAAATGTTACTATGTAATTGCTGATAAAATTGGTTCAGGCAGGGGTTATTTGTCTTTATCAGGAAGTGAACAGCATTTATAAAATGTCAGAATAAAATCACCGGAGATTGCTTCCTAAGAGGGAGGATTCCAAAGGACAGAAGTCAAGGGAACAGTGGTGGACCAGTTCATGTAATGCATACTCGGATGCAGTGTAGTACGGCACCACTGCGTTTACGAGGTATCCTATTTCTGAAGAATTAACTTGAAGCATTACTTTTTTGTTTACAAGAAATTGAAAGAACACAGAGTTAGAAGCAACTAGTTGAATCCAGATAATAGGACTCGGTGTAAGAAAACAGATGAGGACAACACAGTTCAGTAAGTTACTATCACATAAGCAAGGAGGAAAGATCCAGCCAGGTGCAACATACAAACCTTGGATAGAAACTCATGTGCATAAACCAGTTATATAGAATATTTTGACATGAAAGGAAAGCATTTGATGTATACTACATGAGATCGAGATCCACTTCAACAGAAAAGTAGAAATCGATGTATTAAAAAAAAAGTAAGTCATAAGCCAGCTTGCTAATTATCCCAATTTTTACTAATTACAAAAGTAATTGCAGTCACTTTTCTTTTTTCTGGTCAAGCAAGGTAGCTTTTATTGAAATTTACTTAGGAGGATGTGAGGGGAGAGATAGTAAGCATGTTCGAGAGAACACAGGCTTGAAAAACAAGCCTGCAATTACTTTTATTATCTCAATTAGTAAAAAAAAAAAAAATAGGGGCCAGAATGACAGTACAGCAGGTAGGGTGTTTGTCTTACCCGTGGCCAACCCGTTTGATCCCCAGCACCCCAGATAGTCCCCCAAGCACCGTCAGGAGTGATCGCTGGAGTAAGCCCTGAGTACTGCTGGGTGTAGCCCAAAAACAAATAAATAAATTGTTCAGAAGGTGGTTCAGTGGTAAAACCTTGCATGCTTTAGGCCCTGAATTCAAGCCCTAGCACTGTGAAAAATAAATGAAAATAATTATAAACATATGGAGGAATGTGCACTAAGATACTATAGTAATGACCTGGAGAGGAAGAATGTGATATTTAATTTTAATATTTTTGCTTGCCAGTATTTTCTTAGAAAGTTTACATAAATACATATTAGATCATCTCTACTTATTAATTATATACATTATGGGGAAGGGGGTTGGACACACCTGGCTGTGCTCAGGTGTACTCCTGGCTCTGCTCTCAGACATTAACCTTTGGTGGTGTTGGGAGGACCAGACAGTGCAGGTATACAACAGGAGTCAGTTGTACGCAAGGCAAATAAATGCCCCACCGCCAGAATTATCTCTCCAGCCCATAATTTTATGTATTATTAAAATTATATAGATATCTGAAACTCTGCCCAGATGCTTCAGAAGTATCACAAACTTAACACGGTCAGTTACCTTAACATTAACATAACCATAAGCAGAAGAGTTTCACCAAGAGTTTCCCTACAGCAGCGGATTCATCAGTGGTTTGTCAGAAATTCTGTCCTTACCTATTTTCCACATCTCTCTTCTACAGCTGTCATAGATGACCAACCACCAAGTCCTCATGATTTTATGGTTGAAACTTGAGTGCTTTCACATTGCCTCCCTTCTGGACTGCCTTCAGAAGTTCTTACCTTTTCATTAACTTTCTTGCCGTGTAGTCAGATGTCTCCTAGTATTAACATCTCACCTCATGTCTGCCTATGGCGGCCTACAGCCCTCAGGATTAAGACCGAGTATCTTAGTATGCCTCATAAGGTCTCAGCCAACTGGTGCCTCAGTACACGAGGTGATTGTGACATGACCTTTTCTTGTATCTAAGATACTGATTTATGGAGAAACCTTTCTCTCACTAAGAAATTTCAGATCTTGTAGTAAAACTGCTGACAAGTGGCAAAGTTTCTGAGAAAAAGCAAAGGGACTATTTTCACAGGTATGAGATGACATCGCATGGTGCTTATGATTTGCATTTTCTGAATGGTAAGTGCTAATTCCATGCACCTGTGTATCTTTTCTGAAGAAGTGTCTCTTAAGATTCTCTGCCCATTTCTGTGTGTTGGTTTTATTTTGGGGCCAATCAGGCAGTACTTGGGAATCCATATATGGTGTGTGGGATCAAACCCGAGTCAGCCAGATGCTTGACAAGTGCCTGACCCGCCATCCTTTGTCTTTGGCCCCATCTGCCCATTTATAGAGCAAGATTGTTGTTGTTGTTATTCCTGTTGTCATTGTTGAATTGTATGAATGCTTCATAACACTTTGTATTTGCTTTGTTGGATTTGTCAGTTGTATATTAATTCTCCCATATTGTAAATTACCTTTTTATTTCTATGAAGATTTTTTTTTACCTTGCATAAGTTTATTAGCAGATATATCCCCATTTTCTAATATTTGGGGGTTTTTTTTTTCTGCCTTACCGGTAGATTAAAATTCTCAAATAACTGGAAGTCAAAGTCAGTGAGTTTATGGTCTATAATTTTCCTCTACTTATCTTTCTGGTTTCTTGTCTTTAAAACATTTTGAATTGATTTTTATGTTTGTACGGTCTAAAGAAGTGGTCTGGCTTCATTTTTTTGCATGTGGTTCCCCAGTTTCCCTGGCACCATTTACTGAAGAGATTTCTGTTTCTACCATTGTATATTCAAAAATGAGGGAAATCTAGTGCACTGTCAGCAGAATATAAATGAAGAGTCACTATGAAAATCTGGGTGGTTATGCCATCCAAAATTAAGAACTGAAATGAATCATCTGCTTATTCCTATTTGACTACTGATTGTTCCTTTTCCAATATTAGGAAATACACAATCCCATTCTGGGTATAGATCCAAGTAATAGGAAAACATTAATTCAAAGAGACTCATGCACCCCAGTGTTCACTATCACATTATTTTCAATAGCCAACATATGGACACAATCCAAGTGCCACGAAAGGTTAAATAAATAAAGACAATGTGGTATGTAAAAATAATAGGCTATGACCCAATTATAAAAGAGTGAAGAAATTTTGCCAAATGTGATAAATTAGATGAACTTAGATGAACCTAGAGGGTATTTTATCTTATAGAATAATTCATGTGAAGAAAGACAAATACCATCAAATATGGTAGTGAATGGAAAGAAGGTTTTTTTGGGTAACAATCATAATGTAGCATAATATTCAGTCATCAAGTAGTAATGCTGTAAATGTGAAACCTAGAACACTTGGTTTTTAATACACATGAAACCTAGAGAATTGGTTTAAAACAGATGTTACTTTAATTAAAAAAAAATCAAAGGGGTGCTTTCATTTAATTTTTTTTTTTAATTTTATTGAAACACTGTGAGATAGTTACAAGCTTTCATGTTTGGGTTACAATCTCACAATGATCAAACACCCATCCCTCCACCAGTACACATTCTCCACCACCAATATCTCCAATATACCCCCCTTTGTCATTTAATCTTTAATATTATGATTTAAAGGAGAAAGCAGGTAAACTTTAATTCTTCTATCCCAGAATAATATATTGATCAATTTACTCTCCATTAAAATGAAAATCTGTCTGTCATAAATCAAGTGGCCATGCATATGGAAATGTATTTCTGGGGTGCCTAGTCCCTGGAATTACTCTATTTTTCTTGTACAGTCTCCCAAATACCCTTTCCCATTAAAAACCTTTCACCTTACAAAATTGATTTTTCTTTGTTTAACTATTAACTTTTCATTGACACACATCACAGACTGGTATTTCTTTTTGGTAAATATAAGAATAGGATATATAAAAGTTTCTATCTTTATAATACCTCTTGTTCTAAGATCATCAGCTGCACCCCAGTCTTGGTAGTGATACCAAAAATGTCTATTACTGTCATTAGAAAGGCAGGGAACAGTAGTAGTAGTGAAGAAAAATGCATTAGTACGGTGAAGCAGGTGGTCTGGGGTTAATTGGAATACTTATTTTTCATTATCAAAGTCCATTCAGATGCATTTCTGTGATACAGTATATATTTAAGTAGTATGTATAATTTATTTATCTTAGCATATCATGGTATTAAAACACATAGGTTGAAACTTGCATATTTATGAGATTACTAACTAATTTTAAATAACTCCTTAAATAGAAACTGAACCACTAAAAACACTTTGGGGCTTGAGGAAAAGTGGCTTGAGGAAAAGAGTGACAAGAAAAATATACCTGAAAGTGAGGCTCCTTGAGTATGCCAACCAGTTCTGCCACATTTTCATCCACATTCATTAGAGGAGTGATATCTTCAAGAATTTCATTAACTAATTCCAAGTTATTGTCACTGACAGCTTCTAGTTTTGAATCTTCTAGCCTCTCATGAGCCTAAAAGATAATTGTATGTTAGTAACACTGTTTTATATCTGATTGGATTTCATAATTTGTTATTTTTTATAAGGAAAATTTAAAGTTTGATTTACTGAAACAAAATTTAATTACTTTAATTAGGAAAATTTTTAAATTAGGAAATACATAGAGAGATTGTAGTATATGTTTCAGGCAGTGTAATAAATTTGTTACTATCCTAAAAGTCAAGGAAAACTCATCTTTATAAATAAACCATGAAAAATCTAAATAGACAGATAACAATTTAAAAAACATTCTAATCACTATCCAAAAGGGTTTCCTAAGTGACTTTCTAGGGTTCTAATAGTAGGAGATGGTTTTGTGTGTGTGTGTGTGTGTGTGTATACTTTATTAAAATAAGTGATTAAGCATATTAAAATAACTTTATACTCTAAGTAAATGAACGCTTCATGTTGTACACCTTAAATTTATAGAAAGCTGTGATCTAATTTCCAGAAAACTGAAAGAAAAAATTGCCATGCATAATAAAAATAAGAATACAGTCATCATATGAATTCCCATTTAAAAATAACAAAAAACTTTGGGACTTTTCAGAACTCAAAATATAGGCGAGTTCAATAAAAATAAGTATTGGTATTTTTGAAGAAAGAAAATGCAGTTCTATATTATCAAATTACTGTCAAAGAAGTTGGCACTTCTATTCACTTTAAAGTTACAAGTTACTTTCAAGAGGCAAGTGCCAACTTGAATTTAGCTAATAAAAAAAAATAAAGAAAACACTCAAAATTAACCAGAGAAACAGATGAAATGTATTGTTTCTTTTTTAAAGCTAACATAAATTAATAGAACATATTTTACCTGTAACAAGTGGTTTAAAGGATATGCCATGACTGGCTTTACAGAATACTTTGAGTAGATACAAATGTGACCTACCCTTGAATGTCTAATTCTGGGAATCCTTCTTACTACTACAACTTAGAAAAACAAACTGCAGAGGAAGAGAAGATTCTTTTAGAATTTATGGAACTTTATCTAGTTCAGTTTAATCAAGGCTAAGAATCTAGTGATGAAAGTAATAACAGGATGATGATAAGAAAAGTAATATTCCCCCAATCAAGGATCAAAATAACTCATTTTTTTTCTATCTTCTTAGATCCAACGTAGTAGTTGCTCTCTAAATATTTCACAAATCCACAGTCACAAATAAGAATCTGACCTAAAGTAGAAATAGGACCCAGAAAATAGAGATATTTTCTATTTTACTTCTTTTAAGTTTTTGTTTGTTTTTTGTTCACACTGTGGTGCTCCTGCCTGTGTTCAGGGATCACTCCTGATGGGGCTTGTGGGATCATACGGATGCTGAGGAATGAACCCAGGTCAGCCGTGCACAATACAAACACGCTACCCACTCTACCATGTCAATGTTGTTCTTTTTTGATGTTGTCCCATATGTCTCTTATTTTCCTCTTATGTCGGCTCCTCCTCCACTACCCTAGAGCACCCTGATTCCTTTCTCAGTTTCCGTCACTGTGCTGCTCAGCTCCTTTCTGCTGTGCTCTTTAGTTCTGAGTGAAGCTTTCTCCTACTCACTCTGAGTCTGAACTCTGTTCCATTGACTCCCACAATTCAGTGAATCCTCCCCCTCTGCTGCTTTGTACTATTCAACAGAGAATTAAAAAACCCTTTTGTGCTGGGGTTCTTCCTAGACTTTTGTCGTCGCCCATCAAAGCAGGTGAATTCTTTCCTTTCTTTCATCACTGCCTGGTAGAAGCTAGGGGTGAAGGTCTGAAGTTGCTGTCTAGGCAGCCATTTATGCCTCATGCTTGCTCATTTCAAGCAGAGACAGCAGCTCTGAGTTTGTGTCACTCTGGACCACTGCTGTGAAGGTGCCATGCCACACTTCCTGCAGCTGCTGTGGCACCAGGAACTGCCAGGCCTGTGTGGTATCCTGGCATTCTTAGTTGCTGGTATTTAACAGGGGCTCTGGGGTTGATACCCCTTGGGCCTGGGCAGCAAATGGGAACTCTGATCATGAGTGTACAACTGCAACGGTAGCACCAAGCAGGCAACACCTGTCAGGTGTTATGATCTGCCTGGTTCTGACAGCAACTATTATTTCCAGGGATGAGCAGACCTGGGAAAAGTCCTGTGACCTGACAGCAGAGGTTTGGTGAGACCATGGCACCCACTCTGACACGTCTGGGATGCACCAGACTGGACCGGAGCACAGCAAGGTTGAGAAGGCTGCCCTGTCTTCCCTGGACTGTGAGGGCTGCCCTGTCTTCTGTGGACTCTGAAAGTGCTTTCTGACTCTGGGCATTCATTCAAGTAATCTGCTAACCCTGAAGAGTATGGGGAGGAGCCAGTTTTGTGTAGCCCTGGGCAAGGGAAAATCATTCAGCTCCCAGTTGCTTAACCCTTAGCTCAGAAAGGTGGAATGTGTCCTTAGGCTGTTCCTTGTCCAAGGAAGAATCAAGAGATCCCTTCCCTTTGCAAGCTTTGAAGCATCCCCCTGATAGGCAGCTCACTGCAGGTCACAGAATATCTTGCCAAGCTTAGTTCTTGCCTCCTCACTAGGTTTTCTCAGAGGGGAATTAGGCGTCAGGGTGCTGGTTTAGAGTTAGCACTCCCTTCCCCCAGAGCAAAGTTGAGCACCCTCAGCTGATCAGGAATCCTGGTGAGCCTGTGGGTGGTCTCTGCTCTGCTTTCTTCTGCAGTGGGGCCTTCCCCTTAGAGTTAAATCCCAGCTGCTATTCCTGGTTACATGGCAAAGTTCTCACCACGCCAGAGAAAACTGCTGGATTTTCCACTTAACTTTTTTTTAAAATGGGGGTCCATGTAGGGCTTTGATATGTCATTCAATCTTTTGTCTGGGTTTTGCTGTGTGCTGAGGGAAAGGCATTCTATGTCCCCTCCCATTAGGGGCCCTGTTGGCCCTGACTCAATCAGGGGCTGGTTTAAATGTCAAGGTAATAATAGCCTTATAAACCAAGATAGGAACTCTTTTTTTCCTGAAAAAAAAAAATTCACATAGGATTTCTTCCTTAAATTTTGGATAGAACTTACTTTTGGAGCATCTGATCTGGAGAGTCTTTGTAGAAAACCATTAAGCTGCAAATATTAATTTTTGAAACTATTGGGCTATTAAGTATTTCTACATAAGCTCTAAAGATCTCTTTTAAGGAACTGCTCAATTATATCTGCAGTGTCATATTTGCCATAAACTTATTAATAATTTTGGGTGGAGCTGTTTGATGACTCCACCCTGTCTTGCTTAAGAGCTATTTCCAGCGCTATGCCGGGGGCCCTCCTGGCAGTGCTCAGTGTCCCATGTGTGCTGGGAATGAACCCGGGGTTCCTGTATGTGAAGCCTGTGCTCTCAAACCTTTCTTTTTTATTTATTTTTTTTTAATTAGTGAAACACCATGAGGTACAGTTGTAGACTAACAAACTTTCATGCTTGTGTTTCAGTTATACAATGATCGAGTACCCATCCCTCCACAGTGCCCATTCTCTACCACCAATGATCCCAGCAGCCCTCCCACCCCCGCACCCCATCTCCCTCCACCCCACCCCACCTCTGTGGCAGGTCATTCCCTTTTTGTTCTCTCTTTCCTTTCAACCACTGCAATGCCACTCAAAATAACTTACTATCCTTGCAAGGTCCACTGGATTTGAAGTGACACTTTGTCACTCTAGATATTGTGAATTCATGTCTAACCAGAGGCAGAGGTTTCTAAACTTATCTGGTTTACATCTCCCTTTTGAAAAAATAAAAAGTGAGCACTGTCCCGCCCCCTTCCTCCTGAAAATCTGCCTTCTTAAGCGATCCAACAGAAAGTGTCCCCCCAGTTGTACCCCAAGCTGCTAGCACCCCTGACTGTTCCAGCACCTCCAGGGGGAGGGAGCAAAATTGCTTCCATTGGAGGGGGGGAACAACACTAAGCTATAGGTTTACCAACAATATTAATATATTCAGTTATACGGATTTTCTCTATTTTTGTCATTTTCAAGTTTATTTATAGTTATTATTTACTCTTGCTTATTTTGAATTTTAGTTCTCTTCTATATTTTATTTATTTATTTATTTGCTTTTTTGGGGGGGTCATACCCAATGATGCACAGGGATTACTCCTGGCTCTGCACTCAGGAATTACTCCTGGCAGTGCTCAGGGGATCATATGGGGTGCTGGGAATTGAACCCAAGTTGGCCACTGCAGGCCACATGCAAGGCAAATGCCCTACCTGCTGTGCTATCATTCCAGACCCTGTCTTCTATATTTTAAAACCATTACTTAGTACATAGTTATTTCCTCATGCATCTTCCTCTAAACATTGCTTTGCTTTGCTGCACCCCACAAGTCTGACCTGTATTTTTCAGTGACGTTCATTTCCCTGAATTCCAAACTCTTTAACTGTTGAGTTGCTAGTTTCTTCTTCCTATGTTATACTGCCTAGAAACTTGCCCTGGATATTTTTTAATGCTCATCTCATTAATTTCTTCTCTCTCAGGGATCTCAGGGATGCTTCCTGCATCTAATGTCTGAAGAGAGTCTATCCAGCCACCAAAGTTTGTTCCTAATTGTAGCTGGCAATATTTGTCACAAAACAAAACACAATTCCACATAAAGACTTGGCTGTAAAAACCTGAAAGTATAAATTCCTCAAAAACAACAACAGAAGCAGTAAACTCTTTGATATTGGTCTAAATGTAATGGTACTTTGCATCTCACTACAAAAGCAAAGGCGACAAATGCAGAAATTAAAAAAGTGTAATTATGTAAAACTAAAAAAGAGCTTCAGTAAAGCAAAGGAAACCATCAACAAAATCAAGAGGCATCTACTGAATGGTTACATGGAAGAACATATTTGCAAACCATATGTCTTGTACACAATCAACTAATTTGATACAGCCTCATTAAAAAGTGGCAGAAGATCAGAACAGGCTTTTTATTTCCAAAGAAGACTTACTAGTGACCAAGAGGTACATGGAAAGATGCTCAACATCATGACATCAGGAATTGAAAAATCAAGACCATAATGAAGTCTACACACCTCATACCTACATATTTCATACCTCATCAAAAAGACAAGAAACTAAAATGTGGCAGAGATGGGGGGAAAGGAAATCCTGTGAGGAGGTAAATTGGTAGAATCACTATTGCAAGTAGCACAAAAGTGCCTACAAGATTGAAAATAGAATGTAACTCTAGAATATAACCCAGCAATTCCACTTCTGGGTATTTGTCTGAAGAACACCAGAACATTACTTTGAAAGTATAGCACTCCTATGTTTGCCTCAGTGTTATAACTATTTAGCATTATCACAATAAAGTCAATAACCTAATGTCCATTGATAAAAAAAATTCATGTGTTGCTGACAGGGATGCACTCTCAGAAATGTTCATTAGGCCATTTCATCATTGTGTGCAAATCACAGAATATAAAATCATAGATACCTAGATGGTTTAGTCTACTGGAACCATCATTATTTATGTTGCTCATTGTTGACTGAAATGTTATTAAATGACAAATGACAGTTTATATGTGTGAATACAGTCTTTGGGGGTAAGGGTTAGCAGGGAAAGAGGTTTGGGCCACACTGGTAGTGCTAATGGTCCCTCCTGGTGAGCCTTGGGGAACTATGAAATTTTGGGGATTGAACCAAGATTGACCACATGCAAAAGTAAGTGCCTTAACTGCTGTACTAGCTTTCTGGCTCCTTAAGTGATTCTTCACACACACACACACACACACACACACACACACACACACACACACACACCACAGAAAGAGCACAGAATTTAAAGACACCTTATTTCTGTCACTTATAAGTGAAGTGACTTTAGGTAAGTAATTTTTTTTTTAATGTAGGAGTACTGTTATTTATTCAGCCACTGATTAGCTGATTGGTGTGGGCATGAACTCCACAAGGTAAGTAAATTTTTGACTCAAAGTCTTAGTTTTCAATTAGTAAAGCAGTTGCAAAGAAAAAACAATAAAATTATTTTTAAGATCTTTGTAAGCTATAAGTCTATTATATATCCATTAAATATTGTTATCTAGCTTCTAACCCTTGAGATCAAAGCTCTAAGTTAAATAACCACGGAGATGGGATGTAACAGATACATTGGCAATAGAAACAGACGAGCAAAGCTGACATCAAGGAAGGCAAAGATCGATTTACAAAGTAACATTATTTGCTCAGATAAGCTTTTTAATATAACTTTCAACAGTCCATTCTTATTTCAACAGAATCTGGAGCTATTAATCTCAATACACTACAGTGATTGATATTTATAATAAAAAGCTTGAACCTGAAAGCAAGTTGTATCCAGCATATTTTATTAAAGGAATATCTAATCATCTTTGGAATGGTTACAATAAAGAATTGCTAAAATAAAATTTTCAGCTGATCTGCCATTGAGTAGTTCTGACACAGGGACCAAAGTCTACCCTGTAAGTCTGTGAATAAAATGACTGCATTATGAATGGAAAAGTTTTCAAATTTTTTAGGGAAAGGTATGATTTTTCAGAACTCTTGGAAGAAAACAAATAATAGGCTGTGGGTAATAAGTGATAACCAGAGGGGATGAAATCAATACTCCAGGAGAGTGTAAAATAAAGTGAGTGACAATGTGGCACATGAAGTCAAAGGCAGAGAAGACATGCGGCACAGGTTCTCAGCAGCAGGGACCACTTGGGGGAATGCTAAAGAGTGAAAAGCAAGGAGGTTGTGAAGTGAGGCTGTTATGCTCTAGTGATGCTTATGAGATTATGGTGAAAGTGCAAGTGAAAAAAAACGTAAGTAAAAATGGTTGGAAAGTTAGTTATATTTATGGCTGAGCTCAGAAGACTGCTATACAGTTTACTATGGAAACAGACTTAAAACAGCTAAGTAATGCGAGAGAAAAGATTTCCTAGGTATAAAAACCAAGACTGCAAATGACAAACATTTACAGTCTAACATAAAAGAAAATCAATAGTTTCCCGATGCCATACAGAGATATGACCAGTATCTTTCTCACAGGCCCTGCTAGGATATTACTGTGATTTGTGATATCCTAAAACTTTTTTATGCCCAAACTAAGAGTCATTGTATCCTATATTTAAAGTAGTATGTAAGGAGCTGGAGTGATAGTACAGCAGATAGGGCATTTACCTTCCACATGGTCAACTTGGGTTCGATTCCCAGCATCACGTATGGTACCCTGAGCACTGCCAAGAGTAATTCCTGACTGTAAAGCCAGGAATAACCCCTGTTCATCGCTGGGTGTGACCCAAAAAGCCAAAATAAATAAATAAATAAATAAATAAAAGCAGCATGTGAAAGAATAGACATTTTTTTGTGAAAAATATGATTTTACTATGTAACAAATATTATTTACTAATATCAATCCAGTTCAAAAGATGTCTCTCAAATTTTAAAAAATAATGTAATTTTGTGGGGGGGGAAATGTACCTTAGCAAGTGACTTTACAATAGGATTCTCCATAATTCCCTTGAGGAAAATCAAGTCAATTTCTTCTGCTCCTGTTGATGAGGGCAGCTCCGTCAGATTATCCAACACTTGCTGCATTGCCGCTGAGAAAAAAGCACAGAATAAAGCACACAGAAAAATTTAAATTCCAAGTCTTTATGATTAACTATAAAACTATGCAGCCATAAAATAATGCAAATAAAAAACAATGCTGTCTTTGAAAGACCACATTTTTAAAAGTTTGATTGTTAAATACTATAGGCTTTAAGTGGCTTTCCATGAATTAGCAGGATTGATTTTCCCATACAATTTAGGCCTTAGTTGATATATTAGATATACTTTCAACTTTATATTTATTCCTTCCCCCCCACACACACATAAACACAGATTTTAAGTCATTATACTGATGAAGTAATACAAAACTTTAATTCTCACAGAAAAAGCAGTTACTGAATTAAGCAGATACTCATTTTTTAAAAATTCCCCCAAAGCTTCAGACAGAGAACCAGATTGCTTCACTGGTGAATTCTATCAAATAATCAAGAAAAATTAAAGACAGGACTGTACAAACTCTTCCAAAAAAAAAAAATAGAAAGGAGGAAAGGAGGTACTACTTCCCAACTATTTCAATACTCTAATACTAAATTCAGAAAAAAATACATCAAAAGGAAAATAAACAATATCACTTAAAGCACACACGTGCAATTCTTTTACTAACATAGAATTTTAGTAAGCTGAACCCAGAAAACTTTAGAAAAGAATAAAACACAATGAACAGGGGGCAGAGCGATAGTACAGTAGGTAAGGTGTTTGCCTTGCATGAGGCCAACCCAGGTTCAATTCCCAGCATCCCTTATAGTTCCTCAAGCAAAGCCAGGAAGTAATTTTTGAGTGAAGAATCAGAAGTATCCCTGAACATTGCCAGGTGTGATCCCCCGCCCCCCCCTCAAAAAACCTACAATGAACAACTGCAACTTGTCCCAAGAAATGCAAGTGTGGCTGATCAACATATGAAAATCATTTTAGCATTGTATTATTAAAATAAAAACCAAAAAAAGTCTCATAACATCTTATTTGACACAGAAAAAGCATTTGACAAAATCCAACATACTTTTCCAGGAATAGAAAATTCTCAAACTGATAAAGGGTATCTATAAGAATTCCACAGCTAATATTTTTAATGGATTAAAAATAAAGTATATTTTCTCATAAGACCAGAAACGAGATAAGAAGGTACACTCTTGCACTTGATTCAACACCATTCAACACTGGAGGTTGTAGGCAATGTCACTTGTCAAGAGCGGGTGTGGAGAACAAAACCAAATCTCCAGGTTGGAAAGGAATACAAAAACTATTGCTTTGAAAATGACATAATCATGTATGCATAAGCTTGCATCCTAAAAAGATACTAACAAAATAAATTATTACAACAGAATTATTAGCAAGGTTGCAAAATACAAGATCAATAAACAAAATTAACTTCATGTCTATATGCTATCATCAATAAGCAATCTAGAAAGAAATTAAGGAAACCATTCCTGGAGTGCTAGATGTGGGTCAAAGTTCATGCCAGAAACTCAGAGAGCCTGAGTTTGACCCACAGCACTGCATGGAATCATCTTCTTCCCCAGCACCAGCAGCTCTGCAGGGACTGACAAGCACTGGATGCCTGAGTACTGAGTATTCAGTACTGAGACTCAGTATTCACCAAGTACTGAGCTGTTTGGCCTGCACTGACAATACTACTGAGTACTGTCAGCCTCCCCAACTGTTTTTAATGAAAAATAAAATTTTAAAGCATTTAAAAAGAAAACCACTCCTTTTACAAGAGCATCAAGACCAATAATCAGGAATAAAAGTAACCAAAAAATAAAGGATGTATACAATGAAACTATGTAACAAAACAAAACACCGAATGAAAGAGGACTTATTAATGGAAAGACATCTCATACTGGCGGTCTGGAAGTCTTCTAAGAGGTATTATTTCACAAATTGATCTAAAGATTTTATGTAATCCTTATCAAAATCTGAGGTGCCCTTTAAAATATGGAATGGAAAATGCCAAGAATTCAGACTAGTCAAGTCATCTTCAAAAGGAAGAAAGCTGAAGACGCATAATTTTAAGATGTACTAAAAAGCGAATGTTCAGCAAGAAGCCCAGGATTGCTTGTAACTGCAAATGCAACATGCAAATGTACCTGTAGCTTGAGAGTCCAGAAATAATTCAAGCACTGATTTCTGAAAAGATTATTTCTAAAATGGTTATTCTTTCCAACCAATGATATGGGGACAACAGGATATATGCATTTATAAGACAGTGGCCCATGCCCCTACTTTATTCTGAAATGTAGCCATTTGTTAATGGTTTCTTCTTAAATCATATTTATATTCTCGATCTGTCACTGTCACTGTCCTCCCATTGTTCATCAATTTGCTCAAGCAGGCAACAGTAACGTCTCCATTGTGAGACTTGTTACTGTTTTTGGCATATTGAATATGTCACAGGTAGCTTGCCAGGCTTTGCCATGCAGTTGAGATACTCTCAGTAGCCTGCTGGACTCTCTGAGAGGGGCGGAGGAATCGAACCTGGGTTGGCTACGTGCAAGGCAAAATGCCCTACCCGCTGTGCTATCTCTAGAGCCCATATTCTGGATAAGATACTAATATTGCTACTTTATGATCTACCCATTTTAGACATTACCTTGTCATGATCTCAGTTCTGCATGACAAGTCCAAAAAGTAGCTTTCATTAGACTCTACCACCCCTTTGCTTTGTTTCTCTATATACCACATACGCAGTATTGGTTTTTTGCCTCTTATTTCACTTACCAGGACCCTATTCAGTTCCATCCAAATTGCACCAAAAGGCAAAAATGTCTTTTCTTATACTGAGTAGATATGCTCATTGTGTCTACATGCCAAACTTTATCTACTCATGTCAATGGACTCTTGGCTTTGATCTGAAAAATTAAAAAAAAAAAACACAAAAAAACCCAAACGTATCCTCTAGGGCCAGGGATGTGGCTCAGTAGAACACATGCCATCCTGCCCCATCCTCCCACAAACATGAAGGATCTCTTTTTAAATCCTACCTGGGCTAAAATTTTCACATTGGCTCTTAAATTGATAATGAAATGGGGAAAAAAGGGGTGGTGATTGTGATATGTACCCTTATTTTGAAGGTATTCACAAGCTTGTATTGATTTGTGATTAGCGGTAGGGTGTTTGCCTTGCACGCAGCCAACATGGCCGACCCGAGTTCGATTTCTCCGCCCCTCTCGGAGAGCCCGGCAAGTTACCGAGAGTATTTCGCCCGCACAGCAGAGCCTGGCAAGCTCCCCGTATATTCGATATGTCAAACACAGTAACAACAAAGTCTCCAATGGAGACGTTACTGGGCCCGCTCGAGCAAATCGATGATCAACGGGAGGGCCTTTACTTTTTACTTTTATTAAATTAAAAAGGAATGAACCTGCCAATGTCCCGTGTTTTGAAAAATAAATCCTAATTATTGGGGCTGGGGCAATAGTACTGGGGGTAGGGTGTTTGCCTTGCACACGGCAGACCTGGGTTCAATTCCTGGCATCCCATATGGTCCCCCAATACCGCCAGGAGTAATTCCTGAGTGCAGAGCCAGGAGTAATCCCTGAGCATCACTGGGTGTGACCCAAAAAGAAAAAAAAATAAATGAAAGAAATCCTGATTATTGAAAAAGCAACTAAGTCAGTTCTGACTGAGCCCCTCCCCATCGGGGCGTGCAGGCTGAGAGGCACAGCAGCAGAAAAGCCAAGGTACCTTGGGGAGCAGGTGTCTGGCAGGGACTGGCTGTCCACAAGTGCACGTTGTGCTTGCCACAGCTGATGGGAGTTTGGTCTTTGTATGGCTTATATTTGTGGAGTGCTCAATCAAGGGCTTCGGAATGAAATCTGAGGGGGCACTCCTGTCCCCACAGTACATGTGTCCTCCCTGACCCCCCAGGCACTTGATAGAGGAAATTGAAACTCAATTGTCCACTCTCTGGGATGGCACGTCTGAACCCAGCACCTTGCAGATGATGCACAGAGACTTGGCTGTCTGTATGAGACAAAAGCTCGGGATGCCACCCTCACCCTTGAGATCCCACTTTAGGCTGCACGCCCTCTTCCCTGCAGTGGGTGAGAGTGGCCGTGCTACTCAACAGATACTGCAACTACTAGAACTCCTTTCTGAGGGGCCCTGATGGAGGATTATGGGACAGGCTGTTGGGAGACGGGGCTGTAGCCACGGTGGGTGCCTGTGCTGTTAGGAGGCCACCAGGGGCACATGTATGAGCTTTCGGCAACAACTCCTGTCAGCTGCTGAAGATCTACTGCTAATTCCTTTTCTCCCCAACCACTGCCAGGGGACACACGTCTCTCTTCCAGTCAGAAGAGTAAACAGGTCAAACGCTTCCCTTGGGATCAAAAGTTTTACGTTTGAAATCAATCCTTCTTTCCTGCGGTGGCTCCTTGTAGACCCAGCCAGATTGCACAGTTCTGGGTTCAAGCCAGTGCTGTGGTCTGTTGGGGGCGGGGGGGTAGTACAACTTCCCATCATAAAAAAGGGTAAATTTTTTAAAAAGTTAAATATTAAATAATTTTCATAACAAAAAATTCTCAGTGGCTTTAGACTACAGAGGCCTTAGTTAGCATTGTGTGGTCCCCTGAGCATTGCCAGCTGTGGCCCCCCAGACAAAACAAGCAAAAACCGCCTATGAAAGAGCAAGATGCTATCAGTGCCTTAGCTCTCAAACTAGTATCTTGAAATTCTACTTTAGTTATATTGAATCAGAGGGGAAAAGTAAACTTTGCACTTATTTAACAAACATTGATGGGGATCGAGGGACCAGGTTCAATGTATGTAAGAAATAAGCTATCTTTCCTTGAAAAGTTCAATCTAGTAGAGTATGCCTCAAATATGCAAATACATACATAAGGCACAATGATAAGAACACCGTGAAAGATCTGCAGTTGGGTGACAGACCAGAGTGGGGCTCAGTCTCGGCCACCGAGCTACTTCTCAACACCTGCATAAGTGACCAGTCTCTAAGGCTGCTCTGTCCTGTGTTAAGTATAGAGATGACAAC